AATATTTTTAACTACATGTTATTGTTTAGTTTTCAAGATTAAATAATTTTGAATAATAAATATTTTTAAAGGCGCGACTTTAAAATTATTTATAAAAATGATTTTAAAGTCACGTCAATTTTTTCAGTTATTTAGGAGTTATTTAAAGTTATTTCATTTTATCAGTCTATACAAGTTAAAAAAGTTATATTACTCTTCAGATAAACATATTTTTATTTCAGAAACACGAAAAATTAACCTACAAAACATACTTGATAACTCTGCTAAACATTAAATTGAAACCCAATGCAAAGTTCTTAAAAATATTAACTATAAAATGAAAATAAGATGAAAGCTCCGCTTACAGCACTGATGAATAAAGATTTTTAAACTCTAATGCTATTGATGTGTTACGTATTTTTAATTGGTTCTTTGAGATTTTGAGACAATGAAAATATGGCTTTATGAATACAAATGATGGGGACACATCATGCAGATTTCAGGAATTAAGTGGTGAGGTTATAGGTTTAGATGCCAATTTCATTAAAAATTTCAGTAAATTTTTAAAAACGCTGACCTTAGTCTTTGATATTAGTTATAATGAATTTGAAAAATTTTGTTCTGAAACTAAAACTTTTTATCCATATTTATATCCGTGGTACTACGTATCTATTAATATACAAAAAATAGCTATACACAGTTTGAAAATTATGAAATCATGTTCATCAAACTTTCGGAAGAGTCTCAAGAAGCCCGCAATAAAGGTGCTTATTGATTCCGCAAGTATCTTACAAGTAAAAAAGACGTATTTTAGAACACAGTTAAAATGTTCTACCCTTAACACCGCCACATTAGGTTGTTAATAATTCTCTGTGTTCTATAGTTCATAGTGACATATATTCTGAATAAATATATGTCACTAAACTGACCAGTGGCGGATTCACCATAGGGTGGGGGGGGGGGACAAGCTGCTCCTCCGCGCTTCCAAAGTCAACTGGCGCCCCCTAAAATATAAATTTCTTATTACAAAATTCCGCATTTATTTAAATTGAAATAGAAAACTAGGTAAAATTAAACCATTTACAAATTTTCCCGCACTTGTGACAGAAAACAAAACAGAAACGTTTTTTTCTAAGAAAATATCTCTTATAATCATAATGTACACATTCAATGGATTTTTAACATAGTTTGGTTTATCAAAACAACGGTGACTTGGTGTATTAAAACAACTGTGAAAAGGAGAAAAACAAAATTTTTTAAATTAACTGATTTCAACATTGTGGAGCAATTTAAATTTGTTTTTATATGTTAAAAATGTTGCTGGCAAAAATACGTATGGTAGCCCCTCCCCATTTGATATCTACTCGCGCTGGCCCTCTTTCAAATATGCATCAAAATATTTCTAGCAGTGACGATTGAACTATAAATGAACGGCGTACATCCATTCTTAATAGAAAAATAGATGACATCATGTTTTCCTAACTTGTCTATACTCTACAAAATCAACTTGACTCTTCCTTTTACATATGTTTATGATGAGAGAAGTTTCAGTAAACTAAAGATCAAACATTATCTGTGATCAACAATAACAAAACAACATTGACATTAACTTTAATTGAATGTGAGCTTGCTGAGAGAACTGACAATCATTTTGTTTCAACCCAGAGGGCACAGACGTCCGTAAGACGTCTATACAACGCTATAAGAATGTCACTTGTCCTTATAATGATCTCGCAAAAAAAAATTGTATAAACTAGCAGGAGAGTAAATTTTTTTCTTAATGCTTGCTTTCAGTAATCTGTATTGTGTAAATATCTTTTTTAACGATAATTGTTAACCAAGTAAACTTAACAAACTCAAATTTTAGTTTCAACAAGAATAAAGGCCAAACAAGAACAAACTGCAAACTTCAGATTGTTTAGTGTTTTAGATGTACTTAATAGTTATAATAAAAAGCATATAAAAGCATTGATAAAATATATTTATAACAAGTGCGATTCTCAAAAAAGTGTTTCTAAAGGTAATGTACCACTTCCAACCCTTGTCGCCCCGTACTCATTCCCATGTCCCCTCCCCCTCCCCCACGACGCTGAACCTTAATCCGCCACTGGAACTGACTTAAAACGCAATTTGTCGAATAATGAATATGACAGGGATTTTTTAAATAGTAGTTGTTGAGAATAAAAATGAATAATATTAATTATTTGTTTTGCATTTTTAGCTAAATTACAGGTAGAAAAATGATGTGAACTCTTATTCTAGAGGCAGTATTTAAATTAAATGAAATCTAATCAAAATCAAATATATTCTGAAATAAGGCTTTAACATTTTAAGGACTTTTACAATAGTACGGGTAAAAAATACAAGTATAAAGTAAATACCTAAATATTGCAGCATGCAAAAGTTAAATATGATGAAAATAATAATAATATAATAACAGCAATAATTATAATAGTAATAATAACAATATAACAAAAGAACATTAATAATAACAATAATAACAACAATAATAGTAATAACAATGAAAATAATAAATAATAATAATTAATTGTTATAATAGTAATATTTATTACATTAATATTATAACAATTTATAATGACAATATATTGTCATAATAATTAATATTACTATTATAACTATTTTTTAATAACGCCAGAGATTGCTCTGGTGGTCGGCTGCGGTGATGTAAGAAGACAGCAGTTTCGATTGGCGCGAAAGATACAGGCAGTGACAAGAGGAGTAAAGAGGACAACAAAAATAATAACGCTCCTCGATAAAAGAAGCAAAAGACATCTTTAAATAAATAATAATATCTTGTATTTTGAAAAGCATTGCAATGTAAATCATATGTTATATATAAAAGTTTATCTAATATAAATCGTAATAACAAATATATTTAAAAAATATTTGTTATATTTTATTCAAAAAAAAAGAATTAAAAAAAATAACTACGCTTTACTACTCATTTTTTGAGTGGTAACGCGTGGGTTTTTTTGGTCGCTTAAAGGCTAACCCTTAAGGGACCCTTAAAATTCGCGCGGACATTTTCTTAAGGGTCTCTTAAGAGACCCTTTAATTTTTTTTAAGGCAGGTAGTAATAAGCAATAATAGTAATAACAAATAGTATTTGTAAAGTTGAAGTAAAAAATATTAACTGTTTTTTATAATAAAAAGTGAATAAACAAGTTTTAAAGACAAAAAATGAATGGAGAACTTTTATTTAAAAAGGAAGGCTGTTTCAAATTTTAATGCTTTAGTATTTTATAAATTTATGTCCATAAATATTAGAGCGGTGTTTTGAGACTGCCAGGTTTAAACTATTATTCGATTGAAGATGATAACAGGTGTATATTTTCAGTTTATATCTTCACTTGTGGTGAAGAAGTCGGTGAAAGTTAAAGGTAGGTTTTTGTGATAGTGGTTCTAAACAAACTGGCAGTTTAAGTGTTGATTATAATCACACAGTTTTAGCATTTTAGTAGTTAGGTATTACGGTTAAAGTTATGTTTCTGGAAATGAATTATTTTTAAAATTTTGTTTTGGAGATGGAATAATTTAATAAAAGAATGTTGATGGAATTGTTTCCAAACTGGTATATCTTAGATGTGAGGCAAAAATAGCATGATATTTATTCATGATATTTATTCAAGATTAACAAAATAGCTATTAAGATAACTAATTTTTTATTGTATAAAGATAACTTATTTTAAGATAACTTATTTCTTTTTGTATAAAGATTAACATAATAACTTTAGCCAGCATGTGATTATATCAATTTACTTTCACTGCTAATTCTTAACAATGGTATAAAAAAGAAAGATTAAAATAAATTTTGATACCAAGATACTTAATTGAGTTAACAATTGTTAATTCATATAAACAACCTTAAGGTTGTTTTTGTGCCCACCTAATTTAAATTTCATGTGTTTTTTTTTGTTTTTTGTTTGCTTTGATTTAAAAATATGAGTTCGGTTTTATTAGAACTTAGAAAAAGTAGGAATGAAGGCTGGATGTAGGAACAAAGCCACTGAACTAGATAAGCAAGATTATGATTTATCTATTTGTCAATTTTTTTTAGGATTTGTTAATTAATTAACAAATCCTAAAAAAATTGACAAATTAATTAGGATTAATTAGAATCGTAATTAATTAGGATTAGATTAATATTATCAGCAAAGTGGGAGACACTAGCAAGCTTAATAGATGTATTAAGGTTGTTAATATAAAGGTGGAAAAGTAGCGTTGGAAAAACATACAGAATCTTGAGGGATGCTGTTAGAGCATTTTGTAAAGATAGATTTTGAATCATTGATATAAACAAGTTGTGTTCTGTCATGTAAATATGTAGTAAACCATTGTCTCATTCCATAATAATCTAATTTTTTTAATAGAATAGATTGATCAATTCTATTAAACTGTATTAAATATTAATAATAAATGTATTTTTTCCTTATTGTTCTATGGTATCAAACTCTTTGTATAAACCGACAAATACACAATATGCAAAATATTTGTCATCGAAAGCTTTTCTAACCGATTCAGTCATTTCAATGAAAGCATGAGTCGTGGAGTGATTGGTACGATATCCATACTGATACATGTAAAGACGTTTAAATTTTTACAGAAAAAACATAGAGCCTGTTATCTATTGCTTATTCAAATTGTGTATTTATATTTGAAAGCAGGAGACGAGAACTGTGAAATCTATTAAAGAGCCTTTTAATGAAACAACTTTAAAAATATTTTGTATAATACCGTTTTCAAATGAATTATTAAAAATAGTACAAAGAGGTTAAGAAATAATGCGTGGAATAAGTTTAAAATGAAATGTGGACATATTTTTAAGATAACGACTTAACGTTGCGCTTACAGAAGACGTTATATATTATAACGTCTCCTGTAGGCGCAGCGTAAAAAATCTTTGTCCTAAAAACATGTTCATATTTCTTCTTAAACTTATTATAACTTATAATGATTATAACTCATAATCATTAAAAAACATTTTAAAAAACAAAACTTACCCTGTAATAATTACAATGAAATCAAGAATGTTCCAAGGAGTACGCAAGTAGGAATATTGGTGTAAAATAAAACCTTGAGATACTATCTTTAGAAGAGCTTCTGTTATATATATTCCGAGAAGATACTTGTCAAGTAATTCCTATAACAAATACACAGAGTTGTATGTTAATAGCAATAATAATAAACTAAAATACGAAAATGTGCATAACCACATAACCTTTATAAAAATTGGTAAAGGAAAAAGAGCAACTATTGCTTAAGAAACCCTTTAAAGATATATGCTAAAATTGATGCTAAAGGTAAACCATACTAACCGATCCAGTGATCATAATATTTTAAGTTAAATAAAAAATGCAAACTGGATGATGAAACGTGAAGTAGTTTTTAAGACTGAGTTTAGAAAAAATATTTAAAATAAGTTTTGTTTTTGAAAGTCAAATCAAAAGCTATGTTCATACATCAAAAATTCCCCTTTTTATTTTAATTAATAATCTTTTAAAGTTACAACTATGTAAAAAATTTCACCCTCCTTAAAATGAGGGAGTTGTAAATTTGACATCGCCATAACTTTTGAACGTTGAAAGATTATTAAATTAAATTTGATGATTTTAACTTTAACTTTTGATGATTTTAACTTTAAAGCTGTATGCTAAAAAATATACTTTATTAATTTTTTGCCCACATATTTGGATTGGTGGGAGCACTTTTTAGAGGCTATTTTTGTTCCCAGGCTCCAATCAGCGTAATTTTTTGCAAAACACTCTTATTTGATAGAAGCATAAAAATAAAGAAGTTTTGACTTTGCCCAAAGCCTGAAAACGTTCTAACTGAAACATCAAAAAATCTTGCTTACGGGCATAATATTTGAAAAATATATGAAAAAGGGGCAAGAAAATATGGGCATAATATTTGAAAAATATTTGAAAACGGGGCGAGATGGTGAACGAATTAAAAACTCGGAGTTGCTGCAAAGATATTAGTATAAACCAATAAATTTTGTCATTATGTTAATTTTATCATAATGATTTATTGCCTACATGAATTTTCAATTAGCTAGTAAAAAAATTTCAATAAAAATTAAAATGTAAAATTCTTAAAATTGTCATCTGGTCACGTGACCGGGCAAGATGGCTTATTATGCGTTTTCTGTCTCGAATATTATAAAATTTCAAAAACTACTAATAGATAAACACTCGTCGCAAAAAAATATCCCTTAAAAAGTTAAAACCAAAGGACACCGTCTATTCATAATATTAGGAGGTATATAATAGGAGGGCAAAGCAAGTTCAACAAAATATTTAAAATTTAAGTTGGGAAAAAAGAAGGAATAATATATATAGGGGAAAGCGGGGCAACATGGCGAATGGGGCAAGATAGGTTTTCATATAACAACCCAACAAAAAATCTTAAAATTGGTTGAAAACGAAACTGAATTTGCATTTTGTATTTTAAAACACCAACTGGTTTTTTAAAATATTATCAACGCAATTTTATACACATAAGTTTACTTTTTGCGCTTAAAAAAAAATTCCTCGCTTTCGGTTTCTCATAATGGATGGTGTCCTTCAAGTTTAACTTCTTTAGAAGTAGTTTTTTGCGATTTGTGTTTATTTTGTGTTACTTTAATTAGATTTTTTGGTAGTTTTCAAAATTTTATAAAATTGGAGATAAAAATAGCATAATAAGTCATCTTGCCCCGGTCACGTGATCAGATAAACTTTTTATTTTAATATTTATTTCAAATTGTTATATTTGCAAACCGAAAATTCATGCAGACAATGAAGGATTTTGATAACATAAACATACTGAGAAAGTATTATTGCTTCACGGCTGATAGATTTGCAATAACTCAGGGCTTTCAAAACGTTCGCCATGTTGCCCCGCTTTTCCCTATATATATATATATATATATATATATATATATATATATATATATATATATATATATATATATATATATATATATATATATATATATATATATATATATATATATATATATATTTGTTTTTGATATAGCAAGCTTGTTGGAATATTTATAGGAATCATCTTTATTTAATTGCTCAATAAAAATTAAAGTGGCTTCCTTCTAGTGGAATTGATGGGTACAGGTTTATTACATCAAATGAAGCTTGAACCTCGTTTTTGTCAATCTTTCATAAATTTGCTTTACTAACAAAATCAAAATAATTTTTCAGACGTATTTTATTTTTATTTCAGGCCGGTATTATTTTCTTTAGTAATTAGGTATTCAATTATAAGGAATGCCGAAAGTTTATATAACTATTCTCATAGAATAGAATTTTTCAGGTTTGTGAGCTTTAATTAGACTATACACACACGAGGCAGGATGGGATCACTTGGATATATACTATCATACTATGTTTTTGAAAATTGCTGTTTTTTATAAGTCACGAAAGGTAAGAACATTACTAACATCAACAAAAAAAAAAAAAAAAAACTAAATTACCACATAATAACCAATCCGAAACGTATTTAATTGAATTCAAATGCTCAATAAGATACATTGGCAAAACAAAATTTAAAATTAGGACTCGAACTCAACAACATCTTAAACTTTTAGGCGAGGGCAAACATTACCTTTCTGCAATAGCCAACTATAGTACGTTTTGCTCGGAAAAAATGAGGAAGGAAAACGTTCAAACGATTAAAAAGGAAACAAAAAAGTTTGATCGGAAAGTGCGTGAAGTTCTCGAAATACAGAGATACCAATGTTCTTGAGAAATTTGGAGAGTTTTGTACCATAGGATTAAAAGTACAGTAGCTTTAAACAATTTTAAAAACTTTATCAAGAATTTAGCTTAATTTAGTATATCAGTGGTAAGGTCAAGACCCTCTTCAGTACGATTGAGGGCAACAATAATTTATCGTGGACATTTAAAAATTGGTTTAATAGCGGCAAACCGAGCTGAACACTTGTTATCTGAAAGCTTGTCCTTCCACCTAGTCGGACAGCAGCCAAAGAATACATAAAGAGTTTAGATGTTACCCAAAAAAGTCTTGGTCTCAACGCAAGATTAAACGGATGTACTCCAGCAAAATTAAAGCAATGGGCGCCACATTAAACTTATAGGGTTAATGGATTCTTCTGTAAAATTAAAGCTTGCTCCCCAATATAAACTCCAGCCATATTTGAGCCGTTTTCGTATCCTTGGCCACAGTAATTTTGCAAATAAGTCTTACTTTTATTAATTTATCACAAATTAGATTTGCAATATCCATTCTCTTTTTTTTTTTCTTGTTGTTAACTTAAAGAAAACGTTCTTTTACCTCCCAGCTTTTTTTGTTAAAATTGAAGTACGCAAAGTAAAGAATAAAGTGATTTCGTTGAGTTATTTGACATATTATCGCATACTATGACATTGTTATTTATAAGAATATAATCAAATATAATAATAATTCTTTTAAACTTTTTAACACTATAAAGAGATAACAAATTCATATAGCTGTTGCTATATGAATTTGTTAAAACTTGTATTATTATACAATAATACAATATATATATATATATATATATATATATATATATATATATATATATATATATATATATATATATATATATATATATATATATATATATATATATATATAAATATATATATATATATATATATATATATATATATATATATATATATATATATATATATATATATATATATATATATGCATACACACTTGTGTGTATATATAAGATAATATCCACTACATACCAGCTTTATATTAAGATTTGACTTATCATCATTTGCTAAAGGAGCATTTAGAGCCATAATGACACAATTTCCAGCTATGACAATCATTATAAGAGATTCAAATATTCTGGATGAACTGATTGCAAAACATGCTCTACGAAATCGATTATGAGGTGTTAAAAAAAACAAATGATTTGTGGGATAAGGATCTTGAGAATAAATTGTTCCTTTTCTTGTAACATAAGAAGACCTTCGACTTGAAGCCATTGAAAGAATTTAAAAGTTTATTCAAGAAGACCTTCGACTTGAAGCCATTGAAAGAATTTAAAAGTTTATTCAAATTAATTTGTAACAAGACAGTAAAAATCTGAAAATCTCAAGTTCCGATTGTAAACAAACATAAATATAAAATAAATTTTCAATACATAAATAAAATAATCAAATAAATGAATCAATTTATTTTGTCATTAAAGAAATCACGTGATTATAGCTGTTTTCTATTATTGATTAGACAGTTATTTATGCAATTGAGTAATGTATAGATAAAAGGAACTAATTTTAAAGTTGTTACAGTATACAATTTATATTATTTGCAAGTAATAAATAATACATACTTATCGCAAAAAAAAGATGTTCGTTTTAAATTGTTTAAATATAGAAAGCTCCGTATTCATAATAAAGAAAAAATAGCTTAAATTTTTTTGAAAAAAAATAACTTAAATTTTTAAAAAAAATTAAATTTTGATTAAAGTAAACTAAAACATTTTGAGTATCTATTGGTATCATAAGTTTGTCGTTTTAAGATCTATTGGTATCATAAGTTTGTCGTTTTAAGATCTATTGATATCATAAGTTTGTTGTTTTAAGATCTATTGGTATCATAAGTTTGTCATTTTGACTCAAAGTCATAAGTTTGTTTATTAAAAATACACAGTTATAAATGTAAAAAGTATATGGCAAATATATAATAGTAGTAACTTTTTTTATTCCACTTTAATTGTATTTTTACGATTAAATCTAATAAATAATTTTTTTTTTATTTTCCTACATATTAGTATTGTTTTTGTTTGTTTTTAGCTTTAGCTGCAAGAAATTTCTGAGAATTGACTCTGTAGGCTGGTGGAAAATATTTTTCTTTCTTCAATTTATTGCAAAGTATTTTTATTTGACATAAGCATGAACATTTTGGAGTTTTTACAAGGTCTGAATAAGTTTCATCTGAAACGTTAAAAAATATTTCCGTTGGCATACTATGGCATAGAATTAACTATTTCTCTTACATTTTTGTTAATAGTTGGAAAGTTTTAATAAAATTATTTTGTATTGTTTTTATTCAATTGTAGGGGAGTAACTTTTTAGGGAAGTTAATGAAATTAATACAAAAATATTTTTCAATAATTTTTTTGAACTTTCCCAAGCTTGGGCAGTAGCGTAACAACTTTAAGGGCAGAGTGGACAAATGGCAGAGGTATAACGTAGAGGCCCCTTTGACGGGAAAATTTTACACGACCTGAAGATACTGAAGGTACTAATAATACTAATACTAAATATAGAATACTGAAAATACTAGGTGCTGAGATACTTTAACGGGATATTTTTACAAAAAAAACAATACTAAAGAAAAAAAATTAATTTGATTGCATTGGAATTTGATGGCTTTTTTATTCAAATTTCAAACTATTTGTTAAATAAGTTAGTTTAAAGGAATGTCAAACTTCAAACTTTTAATAAATTTCTTTTCAAAGAGTTAAATGTAAGCCAATTGTTTTTTGTTTTTATATTATTTGAAGTTGTTTTTCAAATTGAAAAAATCTTTTGATAGTGAATTTGCATTAAATAACATTTTTAATTTAATTCAGAATGCGGTTAAATATAGTTTTAAGCCTCGTGGTAAATATTAAAATTTAAACTTTATAATAAACGTGCACCTCATATTTTATACGATGTCCCAGTGGGAAAAAAGACGTCGAAAAGATATCTTTAAAAGTCTTATTTACGATGTCTATAAGAGGTCTTTTTTTTTATCGATTTTGCAAATCTAAAAGACATCTTTTTTCGACATCGAAAAGGCGTCTTTTTTGTCTTTATCTTGTCATGAAAAGACATAAAAAATGCGTCTTTAAGACGTCTTTGTTTATAAATATGCACTTCTAAAAAAGTTTTTTTTCGGGGTTGGAACGATTTTTTTGTCCTACTTATTAGTATACTATAGTATCCTATACACTATAGTATTCCTACTTTTCATATATGAAAATATGTTTTTATCAAATGAAAGTGATAATAGTTCTTCATATAAAGTATGACAAAAAGCTCGTTCCGATGCCGAGAAAAAAAACACTTTTAGACGTCAATATAAAAGAGGAATCATTTTCTAAATCTCTTATATGTTTAAACATAGGAGAATAATTTATAATTAAAACAACAGTATTGTTCAACAAAGTATTTTTTAATCTTTCTCTTCTCCTCTGTTTCTTGAGCGAGCTCTGTTTCTTGGCGTTGTTGAATAAAATTAACTATTTCACGTCGAGAAATCCTTTCATACGAGCTGGTTCCGACTTCTAAAAATCGAGTGAACATAACAAACAGTCTATTGCTTGAATGTAATACAAAAAATCAAATGAAACTTGATAAGCTGATTGAAACACATTAGGCTTACCGACTACTAATTCAAAAAGGGTTGATTCTTTTAATCCCCTCATGTTTTCAGCGCGGTTCTTTCTTTTTGACTCCACTAGTTTAGATTGGAACAGGAGTAAACAGTCTAATAATATATAAAAATGAGTGTGCTAAAGAAATTTACGACCATCAAATTGATTGTACAACGATGTATTTTATTATGTAGTACTTAAATCAAGCTAAACATTTGCACCTCTCAGGTTTGCTATGAAAGCCAAGTTAATGAAAAAAGATATTGATATTCTTTTGTCTTCTATGACGTGACTTTTTAATTGAATTTCGCTGAAATTAAGTGTTGTAGACTCATAACAATTTAAAAATCCGTTATTGACTATAGACTATCAAATCGAAAATATAATTCACCTAATACACCTTGAGAGTTGTTATTTATTTAAACTGGATAAAAGTATTAATCAAAGCTCTGTTTTAGTCTGAAACATAATGATGCTTTATTTAACAACATAAAATTATAAAACTGGCGATATCAGTAGCAACACAGATGAAATACACATGAACAAAAATGACGACTAGAAAGCTGCAATGGTGTTTAGATATAAGAAAGTGTACCTCTCTAGTATCATTTTCACTTGGTCTTTTGTATCCAAACCAAATGTTTTGTAAACAGTTCTAAAAAAAAATCTGTTGTCATTATGTGCATTTTTTACTTGCTTTGTTAAAGACAGACAACAGTTAACAAGGAAATAACAACTTTAACATAAAAGTTAAAGAGCCAAACTTTTGCATAAACAATTTCATCATTTAATTAAATAAAAACAACAAAATTATTCAGATCATTTAAAAATATATTTAAAAAATTGCAAGCCTACTGAATGCTTCTTTTTTTCTAACGTTCGTTTCACTAGTACTTGAACAAGTAAATACAGACAGAAATTGTTTACAGGTTTTATTTTTTGTCTGAAAATAAATATTTTAATTTAATATGTAATAAACAACGTTCCTCAAGCACAACACATTAAAAAATTAGTCCAAAAATAAACGGTAAAACTTTTTTGACACTTTTAAAAAACTACGGCGGCACTGCACCACGCCATTCACTTGTTGCTTCTTCCAATTAACATTTTCAAGCTAAACAGCTGCAATTGCATATATATATATATATATATATATATATATATATATATATATATATATATATATATATATATATATATATATATATATATATATATATATATATATATATATATATTTATATATATATATACATATATATATATATATACATATACATATATATATATACATATACATATAAATATATATATATATATATATATATATATATATATATATATATATATATATATATATATATATATATGTATATATATATATATATATATATATATATATATATATATATATATATATATATATATATATATATATATATATATATGTATATATATATGTATATGTATATATATATATATATATATATATATATATATATATATATATATATATATATATATATATATATATATATATATATATATATATATATATATATATATATATATATATATATATAGAATAACATCGAAATTGTAAAAAAAGGAACTGTGTCGAAAATCCGAAAAATAGAATAGCCTCGAAATGGTGAAAAAAGGAATAATATTGAAAAAGGACTTTTCGGAATAATCTTGAAAAAGAAAACATTTCAAAATTATAAAATATCGAAAATCCTAAAAGCAGAATAATCTCGAAACAGCTCAAAAGAGAGTAATATTGAAAAAAGACTTACCGGAACAATATCAAAAATTGTGAAAAAAGGAATAGTATCGAAATTTCAAAAAACGGAATTAGATCGAAATTGTAAAAAAAGAAACATTATCGAAACGGGACTTTCCGGAATTATATTGAAACTGTGAAAAAAGGAATAAAATCGAAAAAGGACTTACAAGAATAATATCGAAAAGCTGAATTTTAATAATAGGTTTGAAAATTCCAAAAGCAGAATAAATAGACGGTAGTTTTTTCAGGGGCAAATTAGGCCAAGAGTAAAAAAAACTCTGTTAATACTACAAAAATTAACTCAAGTTAAAGAAAAAGAGCTTTTTTAAACTGTCAGAGTAAAGATTCATTTACATTTATAAATATCAAGAAAATATGTAAAAATCTAAAAAAAAACATTTTCCACATTTAGGGCCGGGAGCCATGACGTTAAACTTGGTACAATGAGCAAAAAAAAAATGCTGAAAATTTTTCAGTAATGGCTCAAACCCTAAATAAGTAACCCTAAATAAGTAAATTTTGAACTCTATTTTATGAAGTGCACCACCAATTTTATGAAATATCATGCAAATAGTTTTGTCGTTAACATGGAAATGTGAACGAAGAATCACATTATACCTGAGCTTTGTCATATTTTGATTTTACGCGTTGCAACGCGTTAAAGCGAAGTATGATAAAACTCACAAATCCATGTTAATGACAAAACTATGAACATAATATTTCACAAAAGTGGTGGTGCACTTCATAAAGTACAGTTCAAACTTTACTTATTTTCAGGCTTCTTTATCCGCCTAAATTGTAAATCAAATCCAAGTGACGCAGTTATAAATAATGTTGTTTATCATCTGCAACAACAATGTTGTTTTTATCATAGATAACGTGTTGTATCTTAGAAATATTAGTGACATCTTTTGGAAATAATAAAAAAGATCGCCTTTGTTTAAATGTTTGACAACATTTGCACTTTAGTGATTTTTCAACAAAATGATTTTAGGCCATTAAAGATTGTTTCTGGAGTACCTAGTAGGTTTTATTTTCATTTTAAAAAAATAATAAGGAAATGTATACTGCTATGATAATAATATTAAAAACTATTTTGTATATTGGAATTCCCTTAGTTTAAAAAATAAATTTAACTCTTATTTTATTAACTAAAAAAAATTTAGAAAAAAATAATTTTGTTAAATGTTTTTTTTTTTTGAAGATTATTTGATGTACATAGTTATTTAATTTGATCAATTTTTTTGTCAATTAATTTCTAATTGTTAATTATTGTTGTTTTATAAACAATCCCATCATCAGACATATTTTTAATATAATATTTATATAATATATTTTATATTTTTAAAAAATCATAAATTAAGAATGTAAAAATACATAATTGGCTTCTAAAACATTTTATCAACATATTGTCTATTGTCAAGATTATCATTGGATAGCGAGATCATGGTACTGAATCTCTATCTCTTTTTTTACTTTTTTTCTATATTTATTTGAAAAAAATGGTTTTGGTATTTGCTTCAATTAGATTCTAGTTTATACTTGTCTTTCACTTTTTTACTCCAGAAGAATCTCATGATTACAATAATATGATTTATAATCAATAATATGATAAATCATATTACTGATGATAAATCAGATTTATAACTTATTTTTATTTGTCTCAATATTAAGCTATTTAAAAACTAAGCTTGAAGATTAATTTATACTAAACTTTACTGTTAAGTTTAGCATAGCATAACCAAAGTAACATAGCATAGTGTAAAGTAACTCACCAGAAATAGCGTTATGTAAAGCAACTTATCATGATAAGTTGCTATGCATAATGCAATGTAGTTCTGATTATTACTTGATAATAAGTTCATGATAAGTTGCTTGATAATAAGTTCATGATAAGTTGCTTGATAATAAGTTCATGATAAGTTGCTTGATAATAAGTTCATGATAAGTTGCTTGATAATAAGTTCATGATAAGTTGCTTGATAATAAGTTCATGATAAGTTGCTTGATAATAAGTTCATGATAAGTTGCTTGATAATAAGTTCATGATAAGTTGCTTGATAATAAGTTCATGATAAGTTGCTTGATAATAAGTTCATGATAAGTTGCTTGATAATAAGTTCATGATAAGTTGCTTGATAATAAGTTCATGATAAGTTGCTTGATAATAAGTTCATGATAAGTTGCTTGATAATAAGTTCATGATAAGTTGCTTGATAATAAGTTCATGATAAGTTGCTTGATAATAAGTTCATGATAAGTTGCTTGATAATAAGTTCATGATAAGTTGCTTGATAATAAGTTCATGATAAGTTGCTTGATAATAAGTTCATTATAAGTTGCTCGACTAACTTGAAGAATAAAAATATTAGTGAATAAAATATATATAAAGATTAGTAAATTTATTAATCTTCTAATAATTTATTTTATAAATAGAAGGTTATTGATTGTACATTTTATAAAAAGTACAATCAATAACCTTCTATAAATAAACAAGCCCGTATCGTAAAGATTTTTAGGTTAAGTTGGTCGTTTCGGAGAAAATTGTGGTCAAGTATAGCAAATCTTAATCAATTTTTGTAGCATGAAACTAAGAGCATTTGGTCAAAAAAGAGATGTCAATCGTTAACGATTATCTCCTCCCCCTCCCCACCTCTACCAACAGTAAGGACGTGATAAATTTAATATAAACTTGCTTTTAATAGAAAATTTATATCAATAACAACTCTTTAAATAAAATGCACATTTATTATAAAGCAAATTTAGGATGAAAAAACCTTATTTATAGCTGTTTTAAGCTGGTCTGTAAAACCTGGGTCTGTGTTTTGTATAATCTATAAGGTGTTAAAGAAAATTTCTTGGAAAAGAAATATTTTCAGCATATGGTTTTCACATACTTTTTGACGAGCTCTTTCCAATTATATAGTTTTTTGTTTAATTTATTTTTTATTTTTTATTTATTTATATTTTTTTGCTGACTGTAACAAGTTATGATCCCGGCCCAAAATGTTTTAGCACTCGTTTTCTTCTTCTTAGTTTTAACCTAGTTAAACAAGTTAAAAGCTAGCAAGACAAGTTAAAACCTAGATAAAAAAAAGTTAAAAGCAAAAAGTGCTTCTAACACGCTTGTGCACACGAAAGTGCTATTCGTAACATAGCAACCCTCACTATAAGTCTTTTGTTGATACTGTCACTTGCTTCAAGGAAACTTATTTAATTTTGCTAGACAAGGAGCTGTAGAATTTTATGCTACATTTATCTATACAATAACTTTAACATGTAAATGACTATTGTTTCTAGGGAGATGAAATTTATTTAGTACTTATCCTTAATGTAATATGGGGTTTGCTCAACTGAAACCAATACAATACGCCAACTTACGGAAAGTCTTGTAGGCCCAAATGGAATTTAAAGTCATTTATGTAAACTAAAAAATTACGTTATTGATTATTTTTTATTCCAGGCAGAGCAATAGGAAAAAAAATAATACTGCTTTTATATAATAAATTTTTTCTAATAAATTTAAACAATTGTGTGACATTCTAGTTTTTAAAATATAGGTAAAAGGGAAAATTTTACTTAATCATTGAAAAGGTTCAATTATGGATGATATTGGTCCTCGGCAACTGGGACAATGAGCTGTGTTGCTTTTTTGGACTTGCTGAATGCAAGGCTGACAAAACAAAAAATGTCTGCAAGGCATTACTAATGCATTTCGTTCATTGACGGTACAAACAACGCACTTCGGTGACTCTGTTGAAGTGGAAGTTGGCAAATGAAGACTCTCACTAACCTCGTTTATTGAGTTTTCATCCAAAGCACTAAAAATATTTAAAAATTTCAAATACAATTTTCCATATTTCATGGAAAATAGCAGATTATCAAAAAATGTTAAACTAATTAGTTTGGTAAAAAAAATGTTAAAGGTTAATAAATAAGAAGTGTTATACAAAAACATGGAAAATTATCTTACACTACTTTGAAGTTTTGAAAGAGATATGATACTGTTGATAAAAATCTCTCAGTTGTCCAAACTCCGTCTTGAAGTTTTTTCTCAAAACAACGAATTTTTTCAATTGCACCATAGTCGCGTTGGTCACGGCGGACTGGCTGACTGCAGGCAAGCTGTTGAAGCTCTTAAATTGTATGGACTATTACATGCTGGTTAAACAATTTCATAAACTGCCATAATCCTCTATGTCGATCACTCATGTTTGATTTCAGACGTCTATTGAGACTCTCTGCATTGTAATTGGTTTTGTGGTTCAAGCCATAAACACTGAATCATTCATGGGCCACTATATTGAGTCAATACCTTTCAAAATACATTTTAAAAGCAAGCAGTTTGATTTTGATTTCACGACTAAATTGTGCAATCTCAATAAATCAAAATCCCCAATCAACTAAGATCTTGTTTGCAGGAAGGAGACAAAGTGCTGAAACTTTTCGTGCCCACTTTTTTACTTGAATTTGGTGGCGGTATTCCCTCTGAAGACCAAGGATTGCTAATTGCTTGATGATTGCATTTTTGAAATGAAACCTAAAGATAAGGGTTTAAAGGAGATCATTAATTGATAACAAACTCTGAAAAACTTGGATAACTTAGAAACTGGGAACTAAGTAATAACAAAGTAATAACTTATACCTGCAACCATTCACCAAGCTTTCACTCCAAATTGTTTTTAAAGCATTCTGTAGTCCTCGTTCAAAATCTGACATAAAGGTGACTGGAGAGAAATCTAAACCTTCTTTTATTTTGGAAAATACAAGCTTGTATAGAGCCTCGGATTTCGATGTCATTAAAGTGCATACAGCTGGAACAGATGTTCCCTAAAGGTGAGGGTTATCAGGATCAAAATTCATCTGATCCTTATCTGGAATTGGATCTTCAAGTACTGCTGAATACTCAACAGAAAATATCAAGAGCTGATACCACTTGCTTTCCTCCATGCGTGGCGTCATGCTGGAAGTACAATAAATGTAACTATAACTTACAACTGTTAATAAAATTGTTCTACCTAACGTTTTTAATATATCAATTTTTTCGTCTACGGGCTGTCCATTAATAACGTCAATAAAATAAGAAAGGGGGTGTCTAAATTTTTTTGAAAATTTTTGCTAAGGGTGAGGGGAGGAGGTTAAGTAAAGTTGACATTAACAATGTTGCTTTATTTTTTTAATTTCATTACTCAAAATAAGAAAAATTTGGCTGCGTTTTTAGCGCAGCGTCTTTATTTAGAGGAGGAGGGTTATCAAAAATTGACGTAATTTTATAGGGGAAAGAAGTGTCTCTGGAAATTTAACAAATTGTTGACATGGGAGAGGAGATAATGTAAAAATTGCCAAAAGTTTGTTGATGTAATTAATGGACAGCCCCCTAGATAAATATATGTTCTTCTAGAACATATATTTTTTTGAAAAAGTTAAATGCATTCGTATAAATACGAATAAATGTTCCATCAACAAAACACACTTTGGCCGATTTTGCCTTGTTAATGACTAGCATATGCCCAAACAGCAATGCTACGTTATCCTGTTCTGCAATTGATCCCAAGAAATTGTCTCTATTGCGATGACATTCTTTGTCGTTCAGAGCTTCAGCAGCTTCATTTGGTGACTTTGGGTTCGAAGGCTCATTTAGCCTTTTCCTTTTTCTGAAGACTTGAAATAGTTTGACAAAAACTAACAGATTCAGAAACAAATGCAGGAAACTCACTCATAGTGTTTTGAAAAATTGAGCGCAGGGCTTCAGATGTTGCTTCTGCTTTTTTCTTCATGGTACTTTTAGCAAGCAGCACTTCAAAGTCTGTTTCTCTTATACTGCAACTGTGAACAGTTGTAACCTGAAGTTTATCTTCATGAATAAAAGCTTTGCCTTTGCAGTTCATTCTTGTAAAAAAACGACACTAAAGATGCAGTTTGTCTTTATAAAGTTTATCTTTAGTGCATCCAAAATCACCAGACTAAGACACATTTGAATTTTTTCTTTCTCCTTCAGTTTCATTATAATTTTTTGATAAGTTCTCTAACGACATTTTGGAATATTGAGTTTCTTAAAAGTTTCTTAAATTTTAAGTTTTAATTCGAACGGAATTTCATTGCACGAGCAAATTAAACTGTTTATTGCGCGTACAAGTTAACTGTTCATTTAAACTGCTGTTTTCCATTGTTGGTTATGCTTACTTTGTGTAAAGTTGATGCGATATTAGGGTGAAAAGTTAGGAAATATTCATCGAACTCTTAAATAAGTTTCTTTTTGAAAAGTGACTTAGTATCAAAAATCTCTTAAGATTTTCTCCTAGTACTAGCTTTATAAAAAAAAAAGGGTGATCATAAAAACATATTTTTGATGCTAATCATTAAAAAGAGTTTTTAACAATTAAAAAGAATTTTCGATCTTTTTCCGTTTTTATTGACATTAACCAGAAAATCTTATTTTTGATGTTAATCGTTAAAATGAGCTTTCGATCTTATTCTGTTTTTATTGTTTTCGACATTATTCGGAAAATCACGTTTTCGATGTTAATCATTAAAATGAGTTTTCGATCTTATTCCTTTTTTATTGTTTTCGATATTGTTCCACATCTGTGAACTTTGATATAAAAACTTTTCGACATTAATCAGAAAATCACATTTTCGATGTTAATCAGTTAAATGAGTTTCGGTCAGTTATTTTTCGATACTAATCATTTTTTCGATCAGTTAATTTTCAATACTATTCCGCTTTCCCATAAATCAATTTGTTACTTTTCAAAGTTTTGAGTAGTAACAAATTGATTTATAGGCTATGTTGATTTTGTATATAGCTAATGTTGATTTTGTAATTACTCATATATGCTGATTTTGTAATTACTCATATATGTTGATTTTGTAATACTATACTGATTTTGTAATTACTCATACTATGTTGATCTTATAGCTATGTTGATTTTGTAATTACTCATACTAAGTTTCACTTTAGATTAAATAAGTTAATATTTAGATTTAATAAATCTTAGTAAAGAGTAGTTGAATTCTTATGACTAACGTGTTTCAAACTGTGATAATACTTCATGGGTATGATAGAAATTTGTGAAAGATTTTGCGTTAAAGTTTTATTTCCAGAGTAATATATTAATTCGCTTTTTAAAGTAAGTAAGATATATTCTAATTAAGAACAATGCTTCATTAAACAATGAAGATGCATAAAGATGAAAAAATGTCTTGCGATGCAGAAACAATAACTAATAACAATAAATCTACTGTATAATTGGCAAACTGACATGCTTCGAAAGTAAGGAAATATTTACTGTTAACTATTTTTTATGTTTTTATTTTAATTAATTATTTAAATTGTATAAAAAAAAGTTAGTATAATAATACAAAAACAAATAATTATTTCGTCTTTTTATTATGTATTTTTTGATAATTTCCTATTCTATTTTATAATCACTATGAATAATAGTCGCTTTTGTAATCTCCTTTATTGATCAAAATTAAAGCGGGGTAATGTCCTTTTACTGATCTCGGCCCAACGTCATTTTACTGATCTCGGCCTAACGTTGTTTTACTGATCTCGCCCCGATATCATTTTACTGATATCGGCCCGATGTCTTTTTACTGATATCGGCCCAACGTCGTTTTACTGTTATCGGCCCGACGACATCGGGCCTACATCATTCTGATGAGCAAAACTACGTTGGCCCAACGTAGTTAAACTACCATCGGCCGCTGTAAAAGCCTACGTTGTGTCGAAGTCGGGTCAAAGTGTATATGTTATCTGGGGTAAAGTCTTCTGGGCTTGTTATTGTTTTTCTAAATTGCATCCCTTCGTCCCCTTCAATTTCCCATAACTTTCTAATGGTGTTGTTTGAATCTTCGATTTCTTTTGTACTAAATATTATTTTCGTAAAATGGGTTTGAAGAGATCCACCCCCATTGGGCACAGACGTAAAAAAGACGTCTTTTAAACGTCTTATACACATTTTGCACGTCTTTTGGACGTCCTTTGAACGTCTTTTGAACGTTTTGGACGTCTTTTGAACGTTTAAAAGACGTCCTTAGGCCCGGTGACCACTGGGCCAGTACCGCCAATACATGTTCATCCAAGCAGTGAGCTCGTGAGTCGAGCCATTGGTTCATTAAATCCTTCATAATTGCACAGTGTAGCTCAGCATAATCCACACCCATTAGAATGTCAATTTTTTGATTTGATCAATATTTGGAAATTTAATTTTTCTGAGATGTTTCCAACTTTTTGACAAATTTGCCCAATTAATTGCTTTTAAGAATCCAGTTACATTTTTTACTGAAAAAGTTTCCACTGCAATTTTTATTTCTCCATTCAACGATTCCAACTAGAATTCTACCGGCATCGTTTTGAAAGAATCAATTTTTCCATTTATCATGTTTACAGTTACCTTTTCGGTTTTACCTTGCAGTGACAACTCAGCCGCTACATCAGAGTTCAAATATGTCTTTGTACTTCCATCGTCAAGCAATGCGTTTACCACAACTTTTTTTATTTACATTACGAAGAATAACTGGGACCGTTCTAAGAGATATGTAGTTCATGACGTGATTTGAATGAAACTGGATGTTCGACGTGTGAGAATTTTCTATTATCGTGTCTTTTTTTTTTGAAGTCTTCAGAAATTGCTTCATTTTGATGGCTTTTCTTCTGAAGCAAACGATTATCAGTATATGTACAGCCGTCAATCCCACAAATTTTTGTGTTCCTGCATTCTTTTGACGAATGGTTAGAATTCAAACATCTGAAGCAGAGTTTATTTTTCTTATCTGTTTCCTATCTTTCTTTAATATTTTAATTTTGAAACGTTTGACACTCATACTTTGTGATCGTTTTTGCAAACAGAACATTTCTGTATCCAATTTATTTTCTTTATTTGATCACTGTTACCAAAGTAAGAATTTCCTTCGTGTGCTTTGCTAGGAATATTTTTTTTTTAAACCATGTAAAGTTTCCGTTGCTGCAATTTAAAAATCTGCTTTTTCAACTACAAACTTTATTTGAGTTTTAACACTTTCGTTTAATCTGTTTTCATATACCCCCATTTGTATCTAGTTAAAATTATCTCTGGAACTTTTTTTTGCAGTTGATGATACCATGTCCCATCGCCAAGTTCTTCTGTTCTATTTGTTTTTTTTAAGTTTTTTACTGCCACATCTAACAATTGTATTGTGTGACATAGAGATGTACGAGTGTTTAGCGTGTCAGGGTGAAGATATAGAATGTCTTGACCTTTATATTTCTGAAAAAATTTCTTTTATACGCGCACAACGTGAAGTTTTAGACATTGAATATATTAAATTGCAGATGAAGTGTGAAGACCTAGAAAAAATATCCAAAAGTAGCATGGGGACTCATGAGAGGTCTCTTAATAAGGCCCTTGAAGATCAGAATGTTGAATGACAAGCGTACCATGGTAATGCGTTTGTAGGTAATCATTGCAAAATAGTCTTAAGAAACCACTATTATCTTTGTAGTGCTATTGATGATGAAGCTATTAAAAATAGATTTGTACGTGTGTTTAGTGTTTTTAATAAGTTGCAACCTATTCTTTTTAAGCGAAAATTTCTTTCTGATGCCGAAATTACTGAGCTTCATCAATATATTTGCAATAAATTTATTTGCTATCGAGTTTCATGCTTGCTTTCCAAAAGAAAGTATCACGCGAAAAATGCATGATCTCATTTTTAATGTGCCACTTTATGTAAAATTGCATAAAACTATTGGGTTGCTGAGTGAAGAGGAGGGAGAGTGTTTGCATAATAGTGTAAATAAGGAATTAAGACAGTTGCATTCAGTAAGAAATCAGGAACAGAAGCTGCGTCTTGTTTTAAAACGCTTTGAATTGCACAGCAAAGCTGATAGGAAGCTTCAAGCCTCTAAGGTGAGAAAGTGTGTTTTGTGTTCTGAGCGTGGTAAAAATTCGTTTTATAGACGAGGCCTTTGTCTTGTTTGTGTTCATAAAATTTAGTCTAGATAATTAAAAAATAAAGTTTTTAAAATATTTATTATTTTTTATTATTAATTTTATATATTAGATAGGTGCCCATTTCATTCTTATCTTCACAAGTTAATTATACTTATGCAATACCATCCAGGTTAAAGAATAGTACATAAGTCTTGCATCAAATGGGTATAAAAATATAGCTTACTACTTTAACTTATGAGCAGAGCAACTGGTAAGTTTGTTGGCTATGATATAAAATATTAGTTTGTGTAGTTAGTTTTAAAAATGTATTGTCTTTTATTATATGTAACATTTAATTTAAATATTAGATGCCCTTTCAATTATTATCATCAGAAGTTAGTTCTACCTCTGCAGTACCTCTCCTCAACATACCTTCTCTCTGGTTAAAGAATAGAAATTAAGTCTCATAAATAACAAGTTAGTGTAAAGATACAGTTTAAATAAAGAATTTGTAAAAGTTATTGTCACTATTGTGAGTCTGTTGAAAGCCATCTTCTTATCTTGTTGAACAAAAACTATTTTCTAAAAACTAATCTTCTGGTTTAGAATGGAGCATGAATCTAATATCAACTGGGTGTTCAAAGATCGTTTTCTACTTAAAGGACAGAATCAGTAGATCAACTTATTATAAAATATTTCAAATATTTCAAAATCGACTTCTGGCTTTATTTTGTAACACATTGAATTTGTCAACTTAGTGAATTTTTTTCATATTTAAAAACGTGCTCATTTAACAGATAATCCCTCTTTATACGACATTTTTAATAATTTTGCAAAACATGCGGTTTGCTTGCAAACTTCAATTGTAACTGTTTTTGTTAACCTTAAACAATTAAGTAAGGTATTTTTATTTTAATAATAGTCAAACAACGAGTGTAATTAATAATAACTATCAGAAATATATTTTTCTGAATGTTTTCTTATAAAAAGTAACAAGAAATTACTAAAATTTAGCCAAGTTCATCATTTGTCGCGTTTTTTATAAACTAAAAGAAGTTTTTTTACTATTGTATTAAATATCATATGATAAAATATTTTATTTTTGTTTTTATTCTTTTTACAAAAAAAATTATCTCAAATATTTCAAAAGTTATAAATGTTTTAGTAACACCCCTACGTAAATGTTTTCTAAAAAAAATAAGAAGCCGTAAAGCTCTCTCTGAAACAGCCGTGAATAAGATATGGTGATAAACAGTGTCAAAAGCTTTTGAAAAAACAACGAATATATCTAGTGTGACTTTAGAAATCTTAAAGGAGATGCCAATACTGCGCATTACTTGGAGAACAGCGTATTCAATAGAACTTTTTCTCTGAAAACCAAATTGACTTTTATAAAGAAGTGTAATATCAATATTATTTATTTTTATCATTATTATGATAATATCATTTTTTTTTCAAGTTGCATTTCCAAATTGAGCAGTATTTTTCGATCCACAGTTAGATTTATTTTTCGGCGATTTAAACAGATTCAATATATTCAAAGAGAAGCTGAAAGAGGAAAAAAGAAAGGATTTAAAGATAAATACAAAGCAAAATCTATCATTCGCTTCATAAAGGCAAATCCATTTTAGTAGCAGAGAAATCTTGCAAGAAAATTTAAATGGAGCTAAGCTAATACAAAAAGTAATTGGATCTCAAGAAAATAAAGCATATCATAAAAAGTAAACTCAAACGCGATCTAAAAGATAATATAAACTTATAAATCGAGTAAACTTGTGCATAATTAAAAATGATAGAACTAGAAATATTCGGTTTTCATCACGATAAGAAATGTAAAAAAAATATTTTAAATAAATATTTCAATTAGATTCCTTGTGTCAAAAAATTACTAAAATCTGAGTAGTTTTTGAGTAATTAACAATTAAAGGTTGCTGAATTTCATCGTGTTCAACCAATTTTAGGATTATCAATTTATACAAAACCACAAACATCGGATTAGGTTTTGATTCTATCATCTACCCTTTCTTTAAATATAGAGAAAACTTTATTCTATTCTTTAAACCTTGTAAATCTGATAACATTCCTCTTAAATTACCTATTTTTTAAACAATAACATACTAGTTAAAAAGGAATCAACCACAAAACTCCTAGGAGTAACTTTAGATGAAAATTTCTCATACTAAAATAAATTGAAAGCAAGCTCTTGAAAAATATATTTCTTTCTTATAAAAAAGAAAATCTTGTTCTTAATAATGCATAATCAAAAAAACTATATTTTTCGTTTATAAACAGCTATTTTCTTGTTGTAACATTGCTTGGGGAAGTACTAATCACACTAGACTAAAAAATAAATATATATAGTAAATATATATAGTGAATTTTGCATTTTCTGAATTTTTTAAAAACTAATGTTTTAATTTTAACACACGAGGCAAACAAAACTTAAAACACATTTTTAAATTAAAAAAAAGTTATTTAAAAAAATATTTAAAGTTATTTATATTTAATTCCTTTAATTATATAAAAATTGCTATGTAAGTAGCGAACTTAATTAAGTATTCTAGTTGTAAAACTTAGCAATTTAGTAAGTTTTTTCTTTATCTGCCTAAAAACCACAACTTTATATTCAAAAATCAATGTATAATAAAGTCAAGTCTTCACTTCTTTCGGAATAAATATTGGTACTACATCATTTGGTTTGTATACAGCATAAGGTGATTTCATACCTACTACGAATATAGAATTTTCTTTTAAAAAAAATCTCCACATTGCTTTATGAAAACCACGCACGTCTAAGTCCCAAAGTTTAAAACATTTGGCTAAGTTATTCCATGTTTCATAGTCACCAGGGTTATTTTGTTTTATATAAATAACATATGTGTGATCCTTAGTGTCAGGAATAAAGTCATGATGTGTGCATGGATTTTTTGAGTGATCAACGACTTCGGCCATCCTGTAAAAATACAAATTCATATTTATATATGTTTAGACGATAAAAAAAAAAAAAAAAAAAATGTATTCCTCCATGAGTTGGTTGTAGTCCTTCCAACCATTGTGAGTATTTTTAATAATTATAATATTGTAAACAAACTTTCTTACTTGATCAATTTGTGCATTTCTTCTTCATAATTATCTTTTCGAAGCTTATCTACATCAAAAGATATGCCCGTTTGAGTGTTCAAAGCATGCTTGCTAAAGTAAAGCTCTTGGAAATAAGAGTTCATATTCAAGCCTTTTGCACCAAAATGATATGTTCGAGAAACATCAGGAATAATACACTCACGCCCTAGTTTGTTTTAAAAACATTTAAACATAAAATTTTATTAACAATGCCTAAAATTCAATTGCAATTTAACTTGTCCAATATTAACAATAATCTATCCAAATAAAAATAATATTGTACCCTTTCTATTACTTTCTAGCCGCATCCACATGTCCCAATCCCAAAATTTATCACTTCCAGGCCACTTTTCCTCTAGTTCATTTTTAAACAGTGACCTTTTGAGTAACCTGAAAAAAATATGATGCAATTGATTAACAAAAAAAAATTCAATTAACTATTATTATTATTCAAAAGTATTCAAAAAATATTCAAAATATTCACCATCCTAATCCAGGCATGGTTTCAACTCTGTATAATAATGAAGGATCTTTACATGAATGCTCATAACCCTGCATAAAGAAAATATGTTAATTTTGATAAAATTCAAAAATAGTAACTGAAACTAAAAAAACTCCTACTTGATCATTCCATGCAGAAATGCAATACAGACTATCATCAGAGCGTAACAATGGAGCTAATTGACTAAAATAATCAATTATGTCTTTTGAAACATCCAAATCCTCTTCCAAGATTAACATAAAGTCAGCGTCTGGATATTTATCAAATGTTTCAGTTAATGTTCTTTTGTAATGCTAATAATTATAAATTCATCCTTTGTAAGAGTTAACTTTTTAAAATTTCCTTTTCAATCATTACATAAATTCTCAGATTTTCAGACAGCATAAATATTTAATAGAGTTAAATGAAAAAACATATTTTTATATCTAATTTGCTTTTATTTTTTATTAAAATATATCAAAATTCACAGCTACAACAATTCATACCACCATACCTGACTAATCCTGCAATTTTTACTACAAATAGGCGTATGTTCAACAACAGATACTTGAAAAAGTTCAGCAACAGCTGAAGGTTCATCAAAAAAACCATCAATGTACACTGTAACCATTTTCGGGTCAACACCGGGTGTTGTCAGAAGTCCTCTAAGCATTCTGAACAAGTAATGAGGTCTGTTAGCCGCAATAACAGCAATAGGTACTTGTTCCATATGACTGTTTGACAACAAAGCTCCTTTTAAGTTTATTGGAGCAGGACTACTACCTAAATATTAAAAAAATATATAAAACATCATTTTTTTTCTTTTAAAATAATGTTAAAGCGACATAGGTCAACACTATCCATTGTAAATAAAAACATAATAAAAAAAATAAATTTGTCTTAATTTTCTAAAAGCAAATGATATAAACAGACTTACAGCTACATACAGTTCCATAACCTTCATATTTATTGCAAAAAAGTTTACGCCGCTCAACTGTATCATCATTTCCCCAATCACATTCTTTATCTTTTTCAGAAAGTTCAAACATGGCTTGAACTACAATAGGTGGGCCCCATTGATCTATTGAAGGCGATGGCTCATGTCCTTCAGCTAACCAATGGTTTTTTTTCTGAGAAATAAATGCCCAGCTATCCCTCCAGTTTATTTTGCTTATAAACCGACTACCAAACTGTTTTATTGTATTTCTACTAGATGCTTTTAAACTGGAACTTCCTTCATCCTAATATAAAACAAACCTAATTTAACAAACAAAGAACATATTTAATTTATTGAATAATATTATTATGTCTTTGTTTTTTATGTATAAACTAATAAAGCAAACCTTGTTATATCCATACAATTATATTTTATTTATTGTTATATCAATACATTATATTTTATTTAATAAATTTAAACACTAAGACTAATGTATAGTTAACATATATTTATATAAAAATTGTAATTCTGACAAGCTTAGTATTTCAACGTTTCTATAAAAAATAACAATTTCTCAAAAGTCATATCGATTTTATCACAATAAAAAAAACTGTCAAACTAATTATTTTTGGTCTTTAAGGTAAAATAATAAGACTATAGTTGTTTAATGAACATTTTAGAAAGAAAAAAAAAAATTTTTTTAATTTGCACTTTTGAAAATTTAATTTCACAACTTTTCTAACTTAATTAAAATAGATTGGACATAAGTCAACAATAAAAAAATTTTTTGAATGACTTTCAGTGTGCTTTTAGACCTAATCTGAGAGTAAGAGGGTTGTTATTCATCAATATAGAAATGCTAACTATTTTGCAACATTTTTTTGCAGTAAATAAAGTTTTGTTGTCTAACAAAAACTGTGAATTTCAAGTCCAAAACTTGAATCCTCAAGCCACTGCAAGCCTTAGACTGTTACAGAAGAGAGATCCGATTAAAAACCGGCTGCTTATTCTAAGCAATTAAAAAGTTAAGATTTTCTGTAAAGACAAGAATATAAAGTTAAGCCGTCAGCCATACTGCCACTTTGGATGTAAAGTTTTCATGATATTGTTATTGTAGATAAGAAACAATACAGTTGCAAATATAGAACCTTGTGGTGCCTTTAAAACTACATAAAATAAGCCTTCAAGAGAGGAGTGGCCTTCAAGAAAAACTTTAATACTGCAGTTAGAAAGAAATAATTCAATCTTAAAAACTTTATATAATGAAATTTATAACAGTGTAGACATAAGTAAGATAGTTAGAGAGGTCAAAGTGTTTTCTAGAGTTTTGAAAAATTGGAACCACTTATTTAGCACTTTTTAAAAGTTTAGCAAAAATTGAAGAGAGCTCGGGAGAACAATTTTTCAAGACTATGATGGAAATCTTGTCTGGAAAACAAACCTTAGAAGTGTTTAAATGAGAATTAACTTTAGCATTGAAAACCAGAGTGATTACGATGTTTAAGAATGAGTTAATCTGTTTAACTGGTAAGAAGAATATGGCCATTAGATTCAAGAGTCAAGTTAAAGTAAGATTTCTTTGCAATAACTCTGCCTTATTCTGGGGAGAAGTAAAAAGATCAGACCCATGAATTAGAGACAAAATGTTGGGCTTGCTTTAGTTAATGTCACTGTTGGAGACTTAACAAAAGTTTCTAGAACCTAACATCTGAAATAAGATACAAGATTTAGTAAACTGAGAATAACAGAGCTTAACATCAGACAGGAACTTTTTATATTGCCTTAATAAAAGGACATTTGTTTTTCAAAGAGATGTTTTTGTAAAAAAGATGAACAAAGTGATTACTGTTTAATAAACCAACTGCTGACGGTAAAAAATGTGGAGTAGAATGAGGCTCAACTTAAAACTAAAGAGCCATATAAATAAACATATGTTTGCTATTTAATTAGATGCTTGCATACAATATCCTTTTATATCTATATAAACTTTAATATTTATATGGTGTAGTATATGCCAAAAGACAGATTAGAAAATAACGTTGAATCGAACAACATTTATTAGAGAAGAATAAAGTAATTTAGGTATCATCATGTAGAGAGGTAGCAGCTTTAGGAGAAAATGGTAGTGGTAGAAGTAAGAAAACTTGAAGATAGTGCCTTACATAATGTATGAATGAGGTTTAGTTAAGGAAATAAAATGCTCTAGATTGTTTATATCAGAGAAACAGCATAAAAGATGAAGGCTAAAGCCTGATGATGATGATGATGATGATGATGATGATGATGATGATGATGATGATGATGATGATGATGATGATGGTGACAACCCTTGAAGTTAGGAAAAATGAGGTCGGCAATAAATTGCGATCTCAAACTCTTAGAGGTTGGCATCAACTCAACAAAAAAAATTTGACACAAAGGGGTTACCATAAAACTTCGTTAGGTTGGCATTGCCCAACGCCAACCCTAGTTCTGAGGGCTGTGATGATGATGATCATGATCATGATCATGATAACAATAATGATCATGAAGGTAATGATGATTATGATGATCATCTTGATCGTAATGATGTTTATATATGCATATATATACAAAATATAACATGAATTTTGAATGAAAAAAAATATACCTTAGGATGTATAAATGTTTATGCAGCCCCAGCTATATTTTATCAAACTTGGCCCAGTCCCGGTCAAATATCATCCCCGGTCGCTTACTATGTGGAATAAGTTTAAAAACATTATTTGGCACGTACAACATTCATGTTATTCACCTCCCTAAGGCCAAGAATTATACTTTAATCAAGATTACTCTTTTGTTTTGTTGTTATTTTTACAACCCTCTTAGAACAATTCCAAAAAACGAACCAAAGTTCTTGTTTTAGAGCTAAAAATGACAAACATAGTTGCTGTGCAAAGAAAAATATTGAACATTCACACAATCAAACCTGGTACTTTTCGCGTAAAAAGCAAACCGTTACTATTGCATTAGATGTACCAAGAGTAAATATTAAAAATGAAGAATGAAGGCTTTATATAAACCTATCAACAACTGGCTAAAAAGCTTTCACATAAAAGCAGAACTTATGCCTAACTGAGACTCTAAATAATGGAAATTTACAAAAACCAAGATAGATAATAAAGAAAATTAACCTGCGCTTGATTGGATGATATATATGAAGATTTATTTACTACAAAGAATTTGCTCAATTTCTGTGCTTTCAATGTGAGCAAAACAGCAAATTTTAGGAATCAACTAGTGTTAACTACAAACTTAACAACTAAAACTCTATTTAATGATATTTTTATTTAATCTCTATATTTTTAAATTGATGCTTTTTCTAAGGAAGAATAAACTTAATTGCTTCAACTCTTAACAAAAAATTAAACTTTATTTTTTTTTTAATATGAATGCCTTTATCTGTTAGACATATATATTTAAGGCATGTTTTCAATAAATTATTTAAAATTTGGTTATTATTATAAGCTGTTTACTTATTACAAATGTGAAAAACAAAATATTCCACCCAGAATATTTAAGAAAAGTTATCTTAAATCTAAAAACTTACTTAACTATTAGTCAATAAACAAATACTTGATAACTTATAAAAACATTTTACCTATACCACAAAAATTCTACATTTTTGACGAGAATTATGATGAGAAAAAATACATTTTAGTTAAAGCTCGCCTTCTCCATTTTGTTGTAGGCCAAAAAGTCAGCACAATATACACCACAATATACAGACTTGATAATTTATTCAAGTGCATTTTATTCCTAAGAGTTTCATTGATTTTTTTTTTTTTTTTGTGTAAAATATATTGCAATTTATTGAAAACATGATTAAATTATTCATGTTTTCAATAAATTATTCAAAGAAATCGACTATGTAAACAAAACAAAAAAGTCAATGACGTCATGTACTAAAACTCTTAGGAATAAAACGCTTGAATAAATTATCTAGTCTGTAGATTGCGGCATATATTATGCTGACATTTTGGCCTATAACAAAATGGGGAAGGCAAGCTTTGACAAAAATAAAAAAGTTAGTTTTTCTTGGTATGCATTTATTTTTTTGTTTTAATCAAAAAAATTTAGCCCAAACATTTTTTAAAATCATTTTTTTTAATATAAACACAACATGTCTCGGAGGTTTGGAATCCCTTTAAACAAAGCATAATTAACTTCTTTCTTTTTTTTCCTTCTTGGTATGCATTTATTTTTTTGTTTTAATCAATAACAGTTAGCCTAAACATTTTTTTTTTTATCATTCTCATTAATATGAACACAACATGTCTCGGAGGTTTAGGGTCTCTTTAAAGTCCTACCTTAAATTAAAAAATAATTTTTTATTGCATTTTATTTAGTTTCACATAACTATTGACCACAGTGTCTTGTGGTCAATACACTTTAAAAAGTTCATTCTAATGATGTAAAGATGCGCTTAATTAAGTGATATAGTTAAGTAAATTAAACAAAAGTATAGCATTAGCCTATTTCAAAATTATTAATTTTTTATATAGCTCATGTCCCATTTTTCAACTTTAAAGAAAAGCTAAAGTTTTTGTATCATTTACAGTTTTTTCATAAAGTGACCTAGATTACCAGTCACTAGAGTATATCAACAAAACTGTGAGTGATACAGAAACTGATTTTAGTACTCAAAATTAAAGTCTCAAAAATGCTAATGATAAAGTTGCATTGAATGTATAATATATTACTTTGATCATAAAAACAACAATTCTTCCTTCTTGTAACAAGTTTAAGAATAATATCATTGCTTCATCTTCTTTAGGTACATATGTGTCGAATACTCTGCTTGCCATTATAACACCTGTCACTTCATTTAATACCACAATATGGATTCCTCGAGATGAATCACCTTCAATAGCATTCTCATAAACTTTTATGCCATCAACAGCTACATAGACACTATCTTTACTAGACTTAGCTTCAATTTTGATTTGAGTATTTTTTAAGCCTAAAAAATCAATCACATATTTAATTCAGATATGACAGTATAAAACTCAGTAATCACAATATAAAACTTTTTTGACAAAATTGCAGTAAAATCAATAAACCAAATATAAATAAATAAACTAACAAATGCCACATACATAACTAGAACATGATTAAAATTTTTTTTCTGATTCTTAATTCAATATATTTTAAAAACATTCTTAGTTATAAGTAAAAAATATTGTAAGAATAAAATGAAAAGGGTATTTTTATGATGCCACAGTGAAAAATAAAAAATATATATCTGGTCACACATACAACACAGTTTTATAGATAATGTTACATGTGTGACATTACATAGACAATAAAATTCCTAAAAATAGGAAATAAATAGCTGATGCGGATTGATATAAAATCATAATATATAAAATAATTTTATTGTAGATAAATATTTTGAGCACAAGTTTAGTATTGATATATTTTTTGTTACAACTAATCTTTATTTTCTTTTCTCAACTCATCCAAAAAACCCAACTGGTTTTTTGAATTTTTTTTTTTTAAATCTGCTTGTCAGTATAAAATTTAGGTTCATATATAATGAAAACATAAATGTCTTGAGAGAAAAACAAAAAGCTGCCAAAGAATATTGCATTAGTAAATAGAAGGATTGAAAACATGAGAAAATTGAAAGATACTAAAATGAACAGTACTGAAATGGTTTTATATATAGAAAAAAACTAAATATTGAAACAAAAAAGTAAACAAAAAATCAAAGACCAATTAAATGAATCAATAGCTTCAAGTTTAAATTTATCAAAACTAATAGAGTACTGTCAAAATCTATAACTAAACATAAAGCTGTTGTACAAGGTTTGGTAAATTATGTTAGCTTTATTTGAAAAATAAAATGAAAAATAAAGTTATCAAGTGAAAAGGATAAGTTAGTTATTGATTTTAAAAAAAAAAAATTCAGTGTGGGAAAATGAATACAAACAGAAGCTAAAAAAATACTTTTCTACTGTGTTTTTGAGAGAGGATCACACTACTTTTCAATCAATCCATAGAGTGATAATACTTTTCTCTACATTTTTATAAAGCTATGGCTTGAAGATGTACATTTTTTTAAAAGAAACAGCCACAGACCAGTGTCAGTGCATGGAAAATTTTGTTTGTTCCTAAAAGCATTATGTATCAGTTCATGGTGGTTACATAACCTCAATAGGTTACAGTCACTTTATTCATCTTGTTGGCTTGGCATTTGTCTGTAATGCAAAAACGAAGTAATAAAAATCACCATAAACTGATACATAATTTTTTGAGGAACAAACAAAATTTTCAATACCACCTGCACTGACACTGGTCTGCAGGTGTTTCATATAAAAAATTTCAGCAAAGCAGGCAGTGTGGAGGATAGATGGCTCAGGGCATCTTTATTTACAATCAAAAATCAGGAAATATAAGTTTTAAAACGTGATTGCTAAAAATCTGGGCAGACCTTCAATAGTTTCCTACTTAGTTTTTAAGCTAGAGATTAAATAAAAATATCATTAAATAGAGTTTTTAGTTCTCTATTTCAATTGATGCTTTTTCAAAGGAAGAACAAACTTTGCTTTAATTTAATTGCTTTATTCAAGTCTGAACAAAAACAGTGCAGCCCAGAATATCTCAGCAAAGTTTACATTAATCTAAAAACTTATTGTATTTCTGTAATAAAATAGTTCAGTATGTGTGCAGGTTTTTTTACATACCTCAGCATATATAGAGTGAGCAATGGCTGAACGCTGGTGATCTTACTCTTGACCCAAGACTGAAGGAAATTTTTGACTGTATTTTCAAATGTAATTTCAAATGTAAAATAAGTTTTTAGTTCTTTATTTATTTCAATAAGATTTATCCACAACCAGCCCATTTCTTCAGATTTGGCCAAAAAATAAAAATAGAAAGTCAAAGTCAGTTTTTTTTTAGATAAAGCTTTATTCTGATTTATAGTTACTTTATATCTTTTGCTTATCAGTTATCTTTATAAACTTGGCCTTTCAAAATGGCCCAGAAGACTTTGATTGGGCAACACTCTGGCATAGCTGGCAGATGTCAACTTTTTTGACAAAACTGTTGTCATGGGTCTTCTAGCAGTCAGGGAAGGTTTGGTCATAATACAAAAATACATAATTGCTATTAACATAATGAACATTGGTAAATGCCACTAATCTCTCCTTAATGCAATCCTTTATATAGATGATGTTGTTAATTCTGAGGCTGCTAGAAGTAGAAAATGGTTTACTTTTGTCAGAAATGACCTGCCACATGGGACCTTGGGTTCGGATTTTTGTATTTGCAATAGAAAAATTTAATGTGGAAAAAACACCTTCTAGATTATACAATATTTCTTTCAATATTTATATTTAGCACAATAATAAGATGAACCTCATATGTAACCAACTAAAAGTAGTAACACATGCATTGCATCTGGAATTGATTGTGCTAACACAGCAGTTATCTGTTAAAAAATTTAATGTTAAAAAGTTAATGAAACTGCGGGGAAAAGCTTTAATGTGAGTGTTAATGCTAAAAATATTTCTAGTTTAGTTTGAACCAGAACTAGAGAAAGCTTATGGAACAGACAACCTTTTTAACATGTTTATGTTGGCAATGAAACAGTAATCAGCTTTATTTTAAAAATACAACAAATACTTAATTTCTGTAAACATGTTGTCAATATATCTTGTTTGTAAGTATTTCTAAAAGATAAGTTTTTTTACTTTAAGCTTTTTTTAAACCATTTTAAGTTCCATTTTAAATTTAAACTTGCTTAAACCATTCTTTGACACTTGATTCCTATTAGTCAAAAAAGCATGAGGTATTGCAATTTTAATATTGAACTGGTTTCCAAAAAATGACCCAGTTTTTCGAGACATTAAAAACATATGTTTTTCTTAATAAAATAATAAACAAACAAAATGACAAAAATATGAAAATAATTATTTATAATGCTTTTTTGATGCAAAATTCAAAATAGCACTTAGGATACTGAAATATAAAAGAAACATAGAGCTTTGGAGCAACTCCGGAGCTGGAGCTATCCGGAGCTGGCAATTATATATGTAGCTGAGCCAGAGATGGAGCTAAAATATTTCCTGCCGGAGCTGGCTCCGAAACCAGTTCCAAGCCAGCTGCACTCTTTTGATATTTTTATATATCAAATTTCCATAAAGTTATTATTTTATATAATGAGATTTTTTTTATAGAATTTAAACAATTACGCTCATTAAAATATTTATAATTTCTAAATAATGCATTTTTTCATATGGTTTATAAAAAAAACAATAAGAAAAATTTTTTTTTTAAGAATTTAACTTTTATCCAATTATTTTGTGCAATATCTCATGTGGTTCTTATTATAGAGTATGATAAGTTTCTTTAAAACAACACTTCTAAACAATATTAATTATTGGTAAAGGGGTTGTCCATAAAGAACGCAAGCTTTTTTTTTTTTTTATCTTTTACCCCCCCCCCCCCTTCCTGCATTTTGCTTTACACTTTTTTGAATACCTTCCACCTCCCTAAAAGTTCCTACTTTTAACCCATCTATTCAACATATCATGATTTTTTTATGTATATACTTTATGGACAATCCTAAACGGAAAAAAACTTTATCATGTTAAGTCACATGATTTTTTTTAACATTTTTAATTAGTTTTTAAACTTGATTTAAACATGTGAGTTCCAAATAAAATTATGAAAAAATTTTAAACGCTTTTTTTTATTCTTGATATTAATTTTGTTTACAAACTTTCGATCTTTTAAAAAAGCCACATGATGTTACAGTTAATCCACATTACTCCAAGAAAGTTCCTAAAGGAATAGATGAAATTGAAATCTGAGAAGAATCAAGGATTCTTTATTTCAAAATCTATGCAGAAAAGAGATGCTAAGAATATAATAGAATGTCAAGAAATAAGAAATACTGCTGTGCTATCTACAGAACTTCTTTCAGTTTTAAATGAATCTAATTCTGATGGAGAAGAGAATGAGTTTGAAAAAGAACTTGATAAAAAATAAAAATAGAGAAGTGTAACACAAATTATTTTTTGTCACACTTCTTTTTTTAATTTTATTGATAAAAAATACTTTTTATACAAATTTTTTGGACGACTGTAGGATAATGGAAGAAATGGGACATTCTAAAGTAAATCCAGCTTTTAAGGGAATTAAGGAATACCAAAAAAGGATACAAGAAGCGTGCAGAGTAGTCACTTGTATACCTATCTCACAAGTTTGTATCGAGCAATCTGCGTTTTTCACTCAAACCTGATGTTAAAAAATTTTTTTTTAATGGATGAATCAAGATTTTTATTAACAAAATAATAATGGTACTTAAGTTACTATCATAAAACATTAAAAAAAATTAGAAATGTTTTTTTTGCAGAGCTGCTCTGGAGCTGGAGTCGGAGCTGGAGCCATAAATTCTAATGGAGCCAGAGTCAGAGCCAATTTTTAGACCTCGGCCCCAAAGCCCTGAAGGAGCATGCAAAAAAAGTTAAGAAAACATAAAGAAATTTTATGAGTATGATTAGTTAAAAAATTTTGTATACATGAAGGTTACATATGCTGTTTCATCATCAGGTTTATATGTTTAAAATGACCATTTGAGAGTATCTTTAATTACCTTTTCTCTCACACACAACCTTATATATATATATATATACAAAGTTAAAACTCCTATGACAATATTTTCAATTACAATAGTCATTAAAATAGTCATTAAATAGTAATCATAAATTAGTGCGTGACTTTAAACACATTTATTTATGTGTCATCTAATATATACAAGTATAATTCACTAATAATACAATAGAACATATGGATCATCTGATATTAGACAGTGACAAATTTGTTTCAGTATATCTAGCTTGTCTTTATAGTATATCATTAATGGATCTAAAAAACATTCCTGGGTGTTCCACTAATAGCTCTGTATTTCAATTCTTGATTTAATCAAATTTTATTTTAGTCGATAAAGGTACTGTAATAGAGAATAAGCAATAAAAGAATGAGCCTGTAGCTTTTAAAAACAAGGTACTAAAATTTCAATGAAAGTCAAAACATCTGCTGTCAAAATCAATAGCATCGCAAAATATCTAGTTATTCATTGCTTGTAGTTTGTCTTTAATTCATCTTCATAACCTCCTAAAAACTCGTACAAATACGTGGTGAGTGGTTCTTTATTTTCTACTAAGCAAAAAGTTTTTGGAAGTAAATCCTTATGTTTCACCAATATTTAAGGCATCCACTAGTAATTTGGCATTTTGGTAATACGGAAAAACACAGACAGAATATGTACCACTTGCACCCAGCAAAATGTACCACTTTAAACAGAATATATTATTCATTTGTTAAGATTAACTAGTCATTGCTAATTATGTAGGACTTCCTAAAATATATATATAGATTTTTTTTCTTTTTTTCTTTTTCTATCTTTCGCAAAAATGATTAAATAAATGAAGATTCAAAGCTTACAGTTATAAAAATAAAAAGTATACAAGGAAACAAAGGCTTCAATATTAACGGAGTTAAATATTTAACAAAACCATTCTTAATAGATCTAATTTTCTATGTTACATGCATATGCTACTTAAGCAATGGAAAAGGAACTGGTAAATAAAGGTCTCTAAAGAATAAAAATAACATTTTTAATACAAATTGTAAAACCAAAGCTGTTCAACTTTAATTGAGTTAATAAAAACAAAGAGTAATAATAATAATCATGAAGAACTCTTGTGACAAGTATGATTATAAGTTAAAAAAGTTATGAAAAAAGTTCTGAGTTCAATCCCCACCACACCCCTGATATCCCCATGCTCAACTTGTTTCTCCATGCTGTGGCCTTGTTCGTCAAGGTTCATGTTATAGAGTTGAGAGAGGGTTGTAATCTTAACTAAAGTACCCTCCTCAACTGTTGTGGCCTTCTGGGCCTTGGGGAGGTGAATTAACATTAATAATAATAATAATAATAATAATAAAAATAATTTAAAATATTAAAAGCAAATAAAAAAAAATTACACTCTGGTGTTTTGAGATTATGGACCCATAAGTTGGGTTATATAAATTAATTGTTTTATCATTTTTAATTTTAATAATTTTAATTAAAATATTTGCTCATATAATTGAAGTGTTAATTTAAAACTCTTTTAATAAAAAATTTGATGTAGCTACTACTATCACAGTTTGATATAATAAATTAATGACTAACCTTGTAAAAATATAAATAATAAGTAAATAAATAGTGTATAGTTGCTTGAAAACTTTTTTGGAAGCAAAAAAGTTTTTAGTCAGCCATAAAAATCACCAACCAATATTATTATCTGAGTTAAGACTTATAATAAAAATTACCTTACTTGATGGTAAAACTCCTTCTTTATTATCTGTCTCTTCCAAATTTATATTTTCACCAATATTTTCATTTGAATTAGCAAAAGAGTTACGAAATCTTTTGCGGTTATCAATTATAAACAACACATTAAAAATGACAGTCACTACTAATACACCAATTAAAACACCTTGTATAAGCTTTCCAGAACATCCTCTATTTTTATGTCGAATCAAGCAATTACTGCAAGGCACATTTATTAAAGTAGAACGAATAAAAGTCATGTTGTTAATAAATATATAATAATCATACCATATTGTTAAAAAATGTTTTCATATTTTACTCTAAAAAAATAATTAAACAAACCAAACTTTAAAATTTTATTTAAAACCAAAAATGCTTGCAAAATATTAAAAAAATTTAGATAAATAACATTAACCTTTAATGATTAAAGTAGTTTATCTGTAATGTAATATTCATGCACACAAATAAAATTTATTACTTAATAAAATTATTACTTTATAAATTACACAAACTAACTAAATAAGAACTATTCTGCCTGACTTTCCATGTACCAAGGTTTAAATCCTTTTAAGTAATAAACATTATTATATTTTTACTTTAACTATATAAAATTTTTACTATTAAATTAATAGTAAAAATTTTAAAGATTAATACTTAATCTTAAGCGCCTAAGCAGTTGAGAGTAGAAATAATTAGTTTTAAAAAAAAAAACAATTATTGATTTAAAAAGTAAAACGGAAAAATTAACTATTAGTTCAAACATGATTTAACGATGCTTATGTATTAAACGGTATCAAGTAATAATTCATTTAAAACTATTTGAACTTATATTTATTAATAATTACAAATATGAACATTAAAATTGATATTTATAAAAGTACAATTAGGTAAAAACAGGACCAGATTTACCAAACATTTTTTTTAAAAACAACTTTTTTTTTTAATATTTATTGGATAAACATTTGTTTAAATTTTAAAACAGAAAATTATTAGGTCAAAATTTTGGTATTTTTTAGTATAAAGAAAAAATGTTATGTAAATAACTTTCTATTAATTAGAGCTCAAGTCCTGAAATTGCTTACAAAAAGAAGTAACCTTGGAAACCATATTAGAGTTCAAAGAGGTAACAGAAAATAAGAAATATTTTTAAACATAATTGAATTTGCTCGGCAACAAAATATTTCAATAAAGGTTTCCAAAAGGTGTTTGGCTTTGTTATTCAAGAAATGGATTTATTTCTAATTCCGCAACAACTATTTTCCAACCAAAATTTTGATGAACAACAATGCAGTAAATAGAAAAAAAGTTTCAAAGTTTTTTTGAGTAAAAAGCAAAAAAAAAAAAATAATAAGTAATCATAATATGATTACTTATTTTATATATATATTTTTTTTTATTTGGTTATGATTAATTTATAGTTATTTTATTGTTATTTTTATAGCAATATGATTCATATTGCTATAAAAAATTTTATTTTAAGAAAGCACCGTTTCTAGAAGTAAAAATTTTCCTAAATTATTCCATGCTGTAAATAAATTAATTTATTGTCTATTTAGATAAAAAAAATACATTTTCCAGATAAAATCTTTGGATATAATTTTGACCTCATTTTATTATAATTCTCGCGAGAAGACGCATCACTTTCAAAAAAATAGCGCTACCAAAGGGTTAGGGTAGATTAGGGTAATATGAGCACCTTAAGCGAAAATTAAAATATTTTCAAAAATAAATATGCTGGATCCAAAATTTTTGCGAATAAACAATTTTTAAGGATACCTACTCATGATCCATTTAGATATTTGGGCACCCGACATTTTTTCTTAAAAACACAGAGGTTTTAAAAAAGTAGCAAAATAGCTCGTATTACCCAGACCCCTTGGTAATATCAGCACTTTAAATTAGCTCAAAAAAATAGCATTAATTAAGTAAAAAAAGACTTACCTGATTAAAAGAACTAATTTTAGGAGTATAAGGATTCGTGATTAACAAAACTTATCATTAAAAGATCAAATTATAAGCTACATTTTGTTGAAACAAAATTTATATGTTTTTCGCAACAACAACAAAAAAAATTAATTTGTTATTTTTTCAATTTTATTAACTCAAGCCTTTGAACGATAAAAATTCTAATTTTTTAAATTTAAGTTCAGAAAAATATTTAGTATTGTTAAAATATTAAAATTTTTTACTATGTTTTATTATTATTTGTAATTATTATATTATGTTTTTATAGATGCACTGCTTACATCTAATAAATCTTTAAGTATGCTCATATTACCAAGGTGCCTATATTACCCTAATCTACCCTACCAGGTTAATACTTTTTACACTTTGTAAGTAATACTAATGCTAGTCACATACTTTTTACACTTTGTATTTAATAGTAATGTTATTCACTTGTATTACTTAGAGTAATACAAGTTTTTTTCAGGAAAAAAAATTCTATTCTAAGTTACCACCGGTGCGAGCAAAAATAATAAATGGCACAAGTTAACTGATGCACGTCCAGCAACGACAAAATGCTGAGAATGAAAAATTTGCTACAGGTACGGGTTACCTGTTTTAAAGAAACTTGTGACTTTTTTTTTAGAAAAAAAATTCATCAAAATCAAAAATTTCTGGCTTTGATGATGATACAATCATTGCAACATCGATAAAAAAAAAAAAAGAAAAAAAAGAAAAGTGATGTTAGCGTTCTAGTTAAATGCTTAATAGATAGTTTGCTTAGAAAGTTTTTTTTTATTGAATTTATATAACTATATAATGTACAATAAAGCGTTTTTGAAATCTAACTAATTAAATGTTTATTTTCTGCGTTCAGAAATACACCTACGTTTAAACCATTTTAATCATCTAAAGGATGAAAATGAGAGAGAGAGAAAAAAAAAAATAATGCATTTGATTTTTGTTCTGAGGCATATGCATCTGAATTCTTGCTTATATGCATTATTATTACTGCTCCGATCTTCATTTTTTTGTTTAATAAAAAAAAAAAATTATTCATACAGAACCGTTTCTACCATTAGGCGAGACTAGGGTGGCACGATTTTTCGGGCGGCAAATTTTAGAATCACTTTTTTTAAAGGTATTTCTATTTATTCTCAACATAGCATCAAAATATCAAAATACACAGGAATCATTTTTATAAATTTTAAACTAAATTGAATGAAAAAATAATTAAAACGTTTAGAAGGGGACAAAAATACCTAACATACTGCCTATAAATATCAATTTAATTTTGAGAAAAGACATTGTTCGTAGCATTCTTGGTTTTAAGTTATAGGCATTTAAAACTTATGTCACGGAAGGAACGATAGGTTCCTTCCAAGTTTCAATGGCTGTAATAAAAAATTTAATATTCCACATGCAATATTTTTACTTGACACTAAATAGGTCATTCCTTTTGAAAAAAGGACCTGTCCGCTAGGTCATTGGATGTACCAAAGAAAAAAATCGAATTAAAGTTTTTTAACTTGAATATTGTTGGGAAAAAAAAATTTTTTTTTCTCTTTATACAACAATTAAAACTACTAAACAAATTATATTCAGTTAGTTATTTGAAGCGGTTGGAAAGAAATTAAACTCCGGAAATCATAATAGTATTCCGGCTTCATAATTTTGTGAATATTTAAAAAAACAGACAAAAAAAGAAAACAGTTTAAATATTTAAATGAAGATTAAACTAACTTTTGAGTTGTAAAATTTAATTAGAAACTTGAATTGACTTTTTTATTTTGTTATATAGAACTTTATTTTTTAAATATTTTCTTTTATTAGTTTGAAGAAAAATCAAAATGATTATTTCAGTTAGAACAAATTTTAGACTTCCCTTTTCACATACACCCTGAGTAAAATAATTATCAAGTTTAATTGATTAACTATCTTCAGGAGACAAAATTAGTTACTAACAACAAGTATATACTAAAATATATTAATAGACATCTCCAATTTTATTGCATAAGATTGCGTATCTTTTTAATAACTTGCATTTTGAATTATAAATAAAGAAAGAAAAAATTTTAAATATGAAAAATGAAATTTGTACTGTCCTTTCAATATTGCACTCTGCTTAACTTGTGTTTTATTAAACTTAGAATATAGCCGCTTAGTTCAAAATGTTGCTTAATTGGCAAGTTTACTCCAAAAAAAAATACGAATACACGTATTCATAATTTTGTACATGTGCATATTTAATATAATGATGTTAAGGTAAATTATGATGATAAATTAAATAAGGGGTTGTCCATAAAGCACATACGCCAAAAATTTTGAAAACTGATCCCCTCCCTCTTCGCTGTTGCCATGCGTACTTTGAAGTCTTCTTCCCCCCCCCCCCCCCACCCTCTTAAAAAGTACGTACGTTTTTGAAATACTCTGTTGAAGATGTTTAAAAGTATTTCTCTGATGGAATAATAAATAATTAAGTTAATAAAATGTCAACTTTGTGGTATGTGTATATATAATCATCTTATTTAAGTTAAGCTTTATATAATTTATGAATAAGAGTTTATTATTATTCTGTTATAAATATTATTGTATGTTTCTGACGTTGATTTAATATTGTGTCTCAACGTTTCAAAACCCTATGTTGTTTTGGGACTACCATTTTATGCATAGAATTATTTGTCAATTTTGCTCAGAACTCTTTTGTTATATATTTAAGTGTTGTAATTAAGTAACACTAGATAAATTAATTGAAAACAATCTAAGATTAAATGAACTTTTAATCAAGTTTATGTGTCTATCTTTCTTGTAAATTTATTATAGATTTAAACCTAATTTTCAGAAAGTAACCCAAGGTACAATATAAAAAAAGCTTATTGTACCTATGGCCACTAATTTTTAAGCCCTTCTACTTGATGGACTTTAATAATTTAAGTCAATACATTTCGGATTTATAGAGTTGAGAGAGGGTTATAACCACTATAAAGTAGTCTCCTCGTCTGTAGTGGCCTTCTCGGCCTTGAGAAGGTGAATAACAAATATATATATATATATATATATATATATATATATATATATATATATATATAATATATATATATATATATATATATATATATATATATATATATATATATATCTTTATAGTGTAGTGGAAAGAGACTTTTAATGTAAAAGAAGTCTCTTTCGACTTCAATTTTGCTACCTCGACAATTAAACTATATTTTATTGTCATTGCAATGTCAAAGCAATTAAATTAATGCGGAAGTACATTAAATTTTATGTTTTTATAGCTTGACTCGCAGGGGAGCAATTATATATATATATATATATATATATATATATATATATATATATATATATATATATATATATATATATATACATA